AGAAGGTCAAGACACTGCTTCACTGTCTTCTGGTTTCCAGAACTGCCACTGCCAAATCTCAGGCAATGTTGATTCTTAATCTTTGTACAAGAACTGCTTTGTCTCTATCTCTGATATTCTAAAATTTCATGAAAAAGGAGCTTTGTACCTTCTTTTTAGGCCTCTAAAAATTTTTGAAATATATTAAGTATGTATGTCATATAAACAACTTTTAAAGAAAAAAAAAATGTAAGAACCCCAAACCTATCACCTGGCTCAGGGGTCAGCAAACTACAGCAAAAAGGCATAGCCTGGCCTGTTGCCTGTTTTTGGCAATAAAGCTTTGTTGGCACACAATCACACACATTAGTTTAACTCTGGTCAACTACAAGGTCGGAGCCCAGCAGTGGCAACAAAGATCATATGACCTGCAAAGGCATATTTATTATTTGGCCCTTTATAGCAAAATGTGTTGGTTCCTCACCTGGCTTAAGACAGAAAGCAAAACTTTTGATGTCCGTTGCATGACCCTTCCCAAACCAGTCTTTTCTCTTCCTGTGAGGAAACCATTACCTAAATTTTGTGTTAACTATTTCTTTTTACCTTTGTAGTTTGTGTGAATCCCAAACAAGATACCATTTAGTTTTTCTAGCTTGAACTTTATATTAATGAAATCATACTGTACAGTATATCCTTGTGCAACCCAGTTCCTCACTCAGCTTCTACATTAGAATCATAATCATATTGACAGTACAGTTCATTTCATTGATCCGATCGATATTCCACTGTGTGACTACACCACAGTCTATCAGTTCTCTTGGTAGTCATGAGAACTATTTCCAGGATTTAAATAAAACCCAAAAAAAGCCCCTGTGAACATTTTTGTACATGTATCCCACCATACATGACCAAGGGGTTTGTGTATACACATAAAATTCCACCTAGGAGTAGAATTGCTGAGTGATGGGCATACGTAAATAGTTTTGTAGCACATACCTTTTAAACAGTAGTAAACGACATTCTCTAATACATTTCCAATATAACACCCGGCTTTGTCAGCCACCAAATTTTTTGCAAACCTAGGGTTTCACTGTTGGTTTTGATTGTTTTTTTAAGAGACAAGGTCTCACTCTGTTGTCCAGGCTGGAGTGAAGTGGTATGATCATAGCTTACTGCAAAGCCATGATCCTGGGCTCAACTGATCTTCCCGCCTCAGCATCCCAAGTAGCTAGGAGTACAGGCACATTCTACCATGCTGATTTTAAATTTTCTTTGTAGAGACAGGGCTCTCACTATGTTGCCCAGGCTGGTCTTGAACTCCTGACCTTAAGCAATCCTGCCACCTTGGCCTCCCAAAATGTTGGGATTACAGGTGTAAGTCACTGTGCCCAGCCATAATCACTGTAGTTTTAATGTGCTTTTTGATGATTACTAATGTGATTGACTATCTTTCCATATAGATGTTGGCCATTTGTATTTCTTCTGTGAAATGCTAATTCATGCCTTTTGCCAATTTTTCTACTGACAGGTTTGTCTTTTTTAATTGTCATAGTTCTGTACTTATTTCCTATACTAATTTTCTGTCAGTTTTTCTATATGGCAAATCTCAGCTTGTGACTTTTCAGTCATTTTCACAGAAAAGTATCTTCTAATGAATAAAAGTTCACAATTTTAATATTTTATTTTATACAATGTATATTTTGGACCATCTTTAAATAAGCCTTTCTCTACTCCAAAGATCATCAAGGAGTATTCTATTTTGTCTTCTAAATGTTTTTAAATTTTGCCTTTCACATTTAAGTTATTAATCCATTTGGAATTTATTTTTGTGTGTGTACAATAGAAACTGTCTTCCTTTTTTTTCCCCATGTGGACAGCCAATTATTGAAAAGTCCATTGATTCCCCAGAGATTCTGCAATGCCACCTTTTATGATATAAAGAGCCCATATACATGTGATCTGTTTTTGGGCTCTCTATTCTGTTCCATCAGCCCATATGTGTATCCTCATCCCAGTACTAGCATCGTAATTACTACAACTTTATAGAAAGTTTTGGTATCTGGTAAAGCAAGCTTCCACAACCCATTCTTTTTTGTCAAGTATGTTGTGGCTCTTTCTCTGGCTTTTCCATATTAATTTTAGAATTAGCTTGTCACGCACTATGTAAAACCCTATGGGGGGTTTGAACAAAATTGTATACAATCTATACATCATTTTGAAATGAAATAAAATCTTCAAGATATTAAGTCTTCTTATTCATGAACGTGGTAGTGCTTTCTGTCCCTCTATTGAGGACCATAAAAGTTTTCCCATTTAATATGTTAATATGTAAGTTATATTAATAGATTTTCTAGTATCATCAATCATTTGCTTCCTATTTGAGGATTTTTACCCCTACATTAATCAGTGACATTGGCCGCTGATTTTTCTTTCTTGTGCTATCTCTGTGTTGAATGTCAAGGTTATACAAGTGTCGCAGGAAAAGCTGGGTTTCATTCCCTCTTGTTCTAGACTCTTAAGGAGTTTGTCTAAGATTGAAATAATCTTTTCCTTGAGATGTTTGATAAAACACACTTGTAAAACCACCTGGGATGAGTGTTTTATCTGGAAAAATATGTAAAGATATTGATTCAATTTCTGTAAATTAAATAACCTATTTAATTTTTCTATTTCTTCTGGAGTCAACTTTGCTAAATTATTTTTTTCTGTTTTGCCTTAGTTTTCAAATGCTGGCATAAAGTTGCTAACAGTATTTTCTTATTATTTTAAAAATTTCTGCTGCATCTGTTCTTTGTGTTTGTAGATTTATTCCTTTATTTCATTTTAGTTTTGGGAGAAAGCAGAAATAACTTTTGTGTGTTTAATCCACTACATTGATGAGAGCAAAATCACACAGAAGGTTCATTCTTCCTTATGTATAAGACGGAAGTAATTACAGAACCCACTAAGGCTGTTGTATTAAGGATTAAATGAGTTAATACATGAAAAGTGTTTAGGACAGTGCATGGCACACAGTCAGGGATCAAAAACATCATGATTAAATGATAGGGAATTCAGTTCCACTGAGATGATGTCACGTTTTTGTTGACTGAAATTTAACAATCTAAAGCAACAGTAACTGGTTATGGACTAGACTCTTTTAAAGAGGTGATGATTGATGTGGTTGACAATATTCTCATTCTGAAACAGTCTGGGTGTTTGTGCCCTGAAATTATGAACTGCACGTATGGTGTAAAATAAAATGTAAAACAAAGCAAGAGGTCGACTACAGGCTATTCTTAACACATAGTGGGCAATAAAAAACAAACAAACAAAAAACTGAGTTCTTGATAAGTAATCAATAACCAAAGAAATAATAAAATGATGAAGGTATAATAAAAACCATAAGGAAAACTCTAGTAGTCTCAGAGAGTTTTCATTATTAGGTGCCTTTTATTCACAGGTAAACACGTAACTGACGTTATCCACAGGCCCTTCATTAGGGAACTCTCTGCTTATGAAAATATTTTTCTACTCTCTCTAACAGAGGGATGCCTATTAGGCATTCTACCTCCAGTCAATTTCTGTATATAAGTTTTGTCTACAAACAAAAACAACAATAAACCCAGCAAACAGATATTGAATTATTTAGGCGAAAGTAAAGTGACGCCTGTGATTTACTTTGAAATGCATAAAAAATAAGATGGATCACCTGCAATCCCAGCACTTTGGGAGGCTGAGGTGGGTGGATCACCTGAGGTCAAGAGTTCAAGACCAGCCTGGTCAACATGGCAAAACCCCATCTCTACTAAAAACACAAACATTACCTGGGTGTGGTGGTGCGTGCCTGTGATCCCAACTACTTGGGTGACTGAGGCAACAGAATTACTTGAACCTGGGAGGTAGAGGTTGCAGTGAGCCGAGACAGCGCCACTGAACTCCAGGCTGGGTGATAGAGTGAGACTCTGTCTCAAAAAAAGAAAAAAAAAGATGGACTAATGGATGCTATGGATGATGAATAGTTGAATAAATACATGATAAAGCAACTGGCACAATGTCACTAGTAGAATTTAGATGGAAGTATATCAGCATTCACTGTAAAATTATTTCAACTTTCTATAATAGCTTAAGAATTTTCATAAAAACTATTGGGGAAAATGTGAACTCTTATACTTAGCAAGTGAAAAACTAAAATAAAAGGAATATAAAAATATTTATATTATACACACAGCAAAAGTTATATAGAAAGTTCATTATAATTTATAAAAAAACATCAAGACACCTATAAAACAAATGTGAAAGGATATTAACAAAATACAAATAAAAAAATAAACCCATGGAAAATATTCAGTTACCTCTAACCAAAGATGTAATTTTAAAATTAAAGCAAGCCTGAAATACCATAACATATCTACTTTCTTAGCAGAATTAAAACACCTGAGCACACGCACGCACACTCTCTCTCTTTCCTGGCAAAGCTGCCGTGAAAATGGTGCACTCATCTACAGCTGGCAGCCTTCACTGTAAACAAGCACCGCCCGTTTGGGAAGCAATTTGGCAGTCCCTAAATAATAGTGCTTATCAAGTCCTGTGACCTGGTGTCCCACTCCTTGGAATATAACTGCAACAGTCAAAAGAAGCCAAAAGATGTTCACTGCAGTATTATCTACTAAAAGGATTAAATCATAATGAACAACCTAAATGGCCATCAAGAGAAGAATGATATAGTAAATAATGACACATCTGTATCATAAATATGGTGTAGACATTAAAAAATGACAATAATCGAAGCTCATGTAGAAATCTGCAACATGTTCATAACACTCAATCAAATGGAAAGCTATTTATAATTGTGAGACTACAGGAATAAATGAAATGTGCATTGGCACTGTAAAAAAAATGAACAATTAATGAAAATGACATGCTGCCATATAAAGGGACTGTAGCTGACTCCTTTTCCTAAAATCTTCTTTCATCTTGCCGATGTATCTTTCAATTAAAATTAGATCATTACAAAGTCAGTCTTAAGACTGTCTACTCACAGTGCTGAGTTTGCTGCAAATGATGAGTATCCGGCGTTCGTACAGCATACTGGCGTACAGATGCAACATGTTGTTGACATCCACAGCCACAAAATATTCTGTCAGATTTCTCTAGGAGAAAGAAGAAGGCACGGTTTGTGGCTGATTTTGTTTCTTCTTATTATAACAGTATCTAAGAAACAGAAAATAATCAGAAAGTATACTCTCTTCTTTCCCTGTCCTTTTCTTTCTAGCCCGGAGGCCAAATCCCCCTCATGTGTAAAATCATGAACAGTAAAGTTGGAAGACACCTTAGAGAGGAAGGAGCCTGAGCAATTATATCTTTGTGTGGTGATTACAACATGAGGTTGCATACAGCACTTAGGTCAGTTCCTAAAGGTGAGCAGAACAGGAATTCTACATGTATCTTACAAATGAGGATACCAAGACTCAGAGAGATTCTCCAAGATGGAACAGTCTAATAAGCAATGAAGACAGGACTGCTGCTCAAATCTTTGGGCCCCAGATCCTAGAACCTTCCCGATGTGCTGTGCCATAAGCCTAAGCAAAACAAAGTACCCAGGGACCAAAATGCTTCTGGCACTGAGCCCGTTTCTGTCCAGGAGATGCCACCCACGAAGGCCAGGCGAGCTCCTCTCCTGTCATCACTGCTGGTATCCCCTCCTTCACAGTTTACATTCGCTAAAACGGCTCAGCTGGAATTAAGGCAATTTTGAACATTTACAATTTCCAGGTATTTCATTCAAAAGGGGGAAAAAAAAACTGAAGACAAACAGCAGCAAGTTGTGACAAAGCAGTGTTTTAACTAGCTTTTTTCCCCCCTGTAGCCTGGGCTTCATTCTTTTAATTAGTACTATAGATTGGTACTCTTCAGATTTCAGAAAAAAAATGGAATGTGTTTCATTTATACAATGCACTCTATACCCACCTGGCTTTAACAATACACATGAATATGCTAATTTCTTCAATGTTACAGGTTTTCAATGCCACACAATATAATCCTCTGAAAATGAAAGGGGTTGGGGAGGGAAGGAATGCTATTGCCAGGGGTTGCAGTTTATAATGATTAAAGATCTATAACCCATAAATTGAAGTAAACCAGGTGGATTTTACATGCAAAATAGCATAAAGTGCTTTTCAACAATGTTATGGGCTGGGAGTAAAACTGGGCACTTATCTTATAATTTATTATTGTTTGACTGAAGTACCAGGTTAACCATCAACCTTTATAAATACAGAGCAACTGAATTAATAGCTCTATATACTAACTACCTCTCAAGTGCCAGCCACTGTACCAGACACTGTGGATGTGTAATTGTGCAATCTTCACAAAAATCCAGTGAGGCGTTATTCTTTCCAATATAAAGAAGTCTGGGAGAGGTCAGTAACTGGCAGATCTGACTCCACGGCCTATACGCTTTCCCTTACACCACATTGTCCCTCTTACACACATCCATCATGGGAAAGGTTCACATCTATTATTAAACATTTCACTTAATCTTCAAACTGCTCCTTGAACTAAGTATTATTATCTCTCTATAAAGATGAGAAAACAGTGGCACAGAGAAGTTGTGTAATTGGACAAAGGTCATGAGGTAAGTGGATGTGACATGATTCAGTACTGAGTGGGTCTGTCTCTAAATCCAGGCTCTTTGTATTCCACACAAAATTGTAGGTAAAACTCATATTTGGAAAAAGAAACAAAACAAGATCAAGTATGCCTAAAGAAAGGGAAATGCTTCTGTTAAAAGTTACTGTTACCCCATTCACGGAGTGATCTGTATGTGGCAGGCAACAGGTGTTCTTTCCAATCTTCCCAACAAGCCTGAGACAGGCATTATCATCTCCATTTTACAGATGAGGAAAAAAAAAAAACAAAAAAAACTGAGCCTCAGGAAGTCTCAGTAGACTTCTAAAGGTCACCCAGCTAGAAAGGGCACAGCCATGTTTCAAAACTACATCTCCTCAATCCGAAACTCATACCCTAACCATCACATCAACTTGCCTCTTAACAAACTTAGTGAAAAACAAAATAGCAAACACCAAAGGCAGTCAGAAGGAGTCACCCAGTGTATCTTGGTTCCTCCACTGGACGGAGGAACGCAGAGCTAATGATGTAAGGGTGGGGTTTGCTCTGAAGATGGTGACATGGCACAGCTCTCCTCACAAACAAAAATACGAGGCCCTTCACTGAGCATTTCGGTAAAAAGCTTAACTGCTGATGAATTACATGAATTTTTCTTTTAGGAGAGGATGGAAGTAAAAAGAAAATAGAAATGAGGAGCTTAAAGAAGGCCAGAAAGCCCATTAGCACTTTTGACAGATCCAAAGATAACTCTGAAGCCACCAAAACGTGGCCTCAAGAGTCTGCCAAGAAGCTTCACGCTGGGGAGAAATATGTTACACAGCTTGCCGTCCAAATAGGGAGACACAGCGTCAGAGACAAATCCTGCGCCTTATTTTGGTGGGAGAAAAAAAAAACCACAAGGATACTTTTGTGGATGGAGAAGGGAACATTTCTGAAATAAAAACACCATTTGATTGAGGCATGTTCCCCATCTCCAATCAGATTCTGAGCGACTCAGGTGCTTGTTCCAAAAACTCTACACAGGTATGTTAAAAATATGTAACATTTAGCCAAATTCTCTCTAAACTGTCATGTACTTTTTTTGGTATTTCTCATCCCATCTGTGCTGATTACCAAGATATTTGTGTCTAAACAGAAGCTGTCTTTCTTATCTGCTTCCTCCCCTGCCTCTTTCCTTCTGGGATGCCACCCGCCTGAGCGGGTGGGAGTGGGTGGGAGTGCCAACAGCCCTGGGAACCTCGCTCAGCCGTGGGAGCACCTGTGGGGCAGAGTGGGGCCCCGGGAGCAGCTGCAGGGAGCACTCGCAGCTCCCACCAAGCCTCAGTTCAGAAGCAGGCCCCATAGAGTCAGGAATCTCCCTCCTCCAGCCACACCAATCCTTACTCTCTCAGGCCTGCCATGCCTTTTCATACCCACAGGCCTTTACTTCTGCCATGTCCTCTGCCTCGAATGCCCCGCTCTTCCTTGAGGACACCTGCTTACTTTTCAAGGCCCAGCTCCAATGTCACCTCCTCCCGGGAGACTTCCTCAACTCATTTGTCAAGCTCCCCTGTATGCTTCCATTGTTCCCATCTTCCAGTAACTCAGTATTTTTTTTAAGTACGTTTTTGCCACGAGACTGAGGTCCTGTTGGGTGAAGCTGCTTCTCCCATCATCCAGCAGTTTGATGAGAGCAAGCTCGGTGCAGGGAGGAAGCAATGGCTGAGGGCGCTGGTCCCTCACTCGGGCGAGAGCAGTGCAGCGAGGAACGCACCAGCAAAGAAGATGGACCACGTGGGACATTAGGAAGAATGTAGCATGTGACTCTGGAAAACCCGGCTCTGAGTCGGATGAAGCGATTGATTACTCAGTAATGGTGAAGAACCTATAGAAAAAGAACTGCCACTGGAAACTGCACAAAGGCTGGTAAGTAGCTGGGGATGGTGGAAGGAGGGAGGGGTGACTTTTCATGGTATCTGTGGCTACATTTATTAAAAATGTAAATAAATTAGTGGTTTTTCAGGTAACTGGGGTGAGGGCTGTACACAGAAGCAGGTGTTCATTTCACAGCCAGGCCAACCATATTTCTCCGATGGATAAGATCAGAGGATAGGAGAAGGGAGGGCTTCCGCAGCAGGCTGTCCTCAGTCAAGACTACAGCCAGAACACATTACGAGCTTCTGCTGATAAAAGATACGAGATAAACCACTCTCCCAGCCCTTTGCTTCTTCCGTGGACTAAGTCCCCATCCTCTCATTTCTATCTCCTATAATCAGGCAATCAATACACACTTATTTAACTCCTATGTGCCTAGCACCCTCCCAGGAGCTAGGCCTGCAGAGATAAACTAACTGTGATCTCCATTTTCCTGCTTACTCTGGGGTGAGAGGGACATTAGACTCAGAAATCCAGTATGCAACGTACCATGGTTGAGACTACACTCCAGGCATGGCTGAGAAGCCTCACCCCCTTGATATGCAGGAGAAGGCTGGAGAAGGTGTGACAGAGAAGACATTTGGTCTGGGCCTCCTAACAGGGGTTTACTCAGTGGACGAGGGAAGAAGCATATTCCAGGCAGCGGCAAAGACAGGGTGGGGACAGGAGCTACAGGCAGGGAGGAGAGTGAGGGGCAGGTGGGGCGGGAGAGCAGGGGGTAGGGGAGCTAGGGACAGGGCAGTGCTGAAGGATCCTGACATGATCCTATTTGTGTTTCAGAAAAATCTTCCTAGAGGCTCTGTGGGAGACAGATAAGAGGGCAAACAGGAGACAGAACAGTCAACTAACAGGCTGCTGCCATATTCTGGGAAAGAAATGATTAAAATATATGTTAAAATACCAATTCAGGTCAAAGCTTTGGGTGTGGATGTCACAGATAATCTACAAAGTGGAATCACAGGACTTGGCGATGAATTAGGCTTGTGGAGGGAAGGAGAAAAAAGTCTCAAATGACCCCTGGGCTTCCAGATTACTATGCACCATACTTGTCCACTTGCCCAAACAGGTTTTTAAAGGAAGAGTCCATTCTTTTAATAAAGGATAAATACTTCTTATAAGTACCATAATTCCTGTCAAACATGGTGTCCCTGGCCACCTCGTCCTAGGCCTAGTGTCCTGGGCTGTAATGCCACCATGGCTGAGCCGAAGTAACTACTTTCTTCATTCTCTGCCAATTACTTCTCTGTGTAACTCACCTACTTGGAAAGGAAAACCTTGCTTTGAGGACTAGTTCCCAGCTTCTGTGCTCAAAAGGTCTCGGTTTTCTTAGTGCCAGTAAGTTTTTAGGCTTGAGGATATTCCCTTCCTACTCATGCAGTTTAAACATTATTTCAGTTACACATACATTTATGTCTCCATGAGCATGTGCCTCTCTACCTAGCATCTCTTCTGGCCACACTCTCTAGGGCTGGGTAGCACAGCTACAAAGCTATCCACCACCCAGGCTGGAAAGGGCTCAAATCTGAGGAAGGTCTCTGGACAGAGCAGCCTGCAAGGTGCACTTCAGAAGAAGCCTGCAACGCACAAGCTCCTTAGACTCTTGGCTTCC